AGTTGGACTATAAAGAAAGCTGAGTGCTGAAGAATTGATACTTTTGAACTGTGGTGTTAGAGAAGGCTCTTGAGAATTCCCTGGACAGCAAGGAGATCCAACCAGTCCATCCTAAAGGAAATCAATCCTGAATATTCATTGGAAGGACTGCTGCTGAAGCTGAAACTCCAATACTTTGACCACCTGATGCGAAGAACTGACTCATTTGAAAAGCCCCTGATGCTGGGAAAGATTGAAGGCCGGAGGAGAAGAGGACGACAGAGGATGAGATGGTTGGATGGCATCCCCGACTCAATGGACATGGGTTTGAGTAAACTCTGGGACAGGAGTGGACAGGGAGGCCTGGCGTGCTGCATCCCATGAGGTCACAAAGAGTCGGACAGGACTGAGCGACTGAATGAACTGAACTGCGCTGCTCAACTTCTCTTGCCAGCCAACACTTCCAGGAGTGGTGCGGAATCAGGACTTGGCCTGAGTCACCCATCAATGCCTCAACTGAGAAGACTGGCTTTTTCTGCAGTTGAAATGGGAAATGGAACCAGGAAGCAGCAAGGGGAGGACTCACTTTCACCCCCCACTCCCCACCGGCTCCAGCACCCAGCACGTAGTCTGGGATAAAGGAGGCCCAAGGAATTGCTTGGTGCAAAACCAGATGAGTGAATGGGACGGCTTTGTCACTCAGAGAGGGAGAGATGGGGGTCACATTATGAAGACACAACAGTGCCTGCTCATGGAGCACACACTTTGCCCCCAGTGCTCTGCTGGGACCTTCCAGAGCACCATTTCAGGGAAGCTTGCAAAGACCCCTGGCACAGCTGCTACGATCCCCTTTCTCCAAGGGAGAAATCGAGGCTCAGAAAAGTAGTAAGGGGTTCAAGGCACAGAGCCACGAGCTCAGAACCCCAGATCAGAAGCCCAAGTCTGTCCAACTCCAGGAGACAGTGATGGCCCAAGGAGCCTCCCTGACCTGTTCCTTGAAGGGCAGTGAATGGAGCCTGGGGAAGATGCCTTTAGGGGCAGAACCTTTGGAAGCTGCACAGAGAATCTACTGCCTCCCGTAGCCCCTGGTCTGATCTTTGTTCCTCGCCATAGTTTTCATCTTTTTTTCTACCATAGCTCTTGAGATCTTGTGTAATCTCTGTCTCCCTCTGGCCACCTCTGGTTCTCTGACATTTGCCCCTGGACAAAGGCAATAATTATTGTCCCCCCTTGGTGCCTTCAGACCTTTCCACCCCCTCCCCCTGAGGTGAATTCACAGAGGAACCATGATCGTAACATTCAGGCTGCCTGGTAGAAAGGAGACTGGGTTTTGCCAACACAATGTGCAGCAAAAATATCTCTCTTTTAAAAGGGAGAAAGAGAGAGAAATTTAAAGACTCAAGATCAGTAACATGTAATTATCATCTGGTTGGGGCGGAGAGTTCTAATAGTTTCCAGAAAAACACAAGCAATGAAAAAGGCGTGTGCTTTTCAAGGCAAAAAAAGACCTGGGCTCTAGTAGGCAGTGGCGCCATGTTGAAATTCCTGTGGCCTTTGGGCTCCTTCCCAGGGAAAGTAGGAGCCCCTAGCATCCTCTCCCCTTTTATCTTCCACACTGGACAGGAGTCTCTGAGAACGTGGGAACTACCTGTGAACTCGGCCTCAATACAGAAGCTCCACTGAACAGATATACTTCAAAGCATAGAGGAGGTTTCCCTGCTCCTTTCTTGGGGGTGAAAACAACTTCAAAATGGCAGGGACAGCTAAGTATCTTCCAATATCTTATCCCCTATTTGGAAGTTAATCAATCCCCCCAATTTTAGCTAGGTAGCATGGTAACCCAGAATAAAGACCTTCTTTCCCAGCCTCCCTTCTGGGTTCTGAGACTGAGGGATGTCAGGGGAATGTCTGTGCAACTCATGAGTGTTCTTAAAGGAGAGATACTTATTCTGCTTCTCTTGCTTCCTTCCTCCTGTAAGGAATGGAGTTGCAATGGCTGGAGCTTGAGCAGCCATCTTAGAACATAAAGCCCACAAATGGCAGAACAACAAAATAGAAGGGGCCTGGGTCCCAACACTATGGTGTTGGGCTACCTACCAGACTGTTATAGGAGAAAGAAAGAAGTTTCTGTATAGTGTAAGTCACTGATATTTCAGTGAAAGACTATCCTTATAGTCAAAATTACCTTGAAAGTCTCTTAAGTAGAGGAGGAGAAATGTAAGCTAATTATAACTTTAAAAGTAAGAATCCCATTCAATGTGGTAAGATGTTCACAGCAGGTTCATGGTTCCCATGAATTCCAGGTGTACCACGGAACGCTAAGGAAGGTGGAACCCAACCACATTAAATTGTTTTTTTCCTTCCTCTTTCTCACTTGCTTTTTTTTTTTTTTTTTTTTGGCCTACTGTCTAAACTTGGGCTTTCCTGGCATCTCAGCTCATAAAGAATCTGCCTTCAATGCAGGAGACCCCGGTTCAATTCCTGGGTCAGAAAGATCCCCTGGAGAAGGGATAGGCCAACCACTCCAGTATCCTTGGGCTTTCCTGGAGGCTCAGACAGTAAAGAATCCACCTGCAGTGCTGGAGACCTTGGGTTGGATCCCTGGGTTGGGAAGATCCCCTGGAGGAGGGCGTGGCAACTCACGCCAGTATTCTTGCCTGGAAAATTCAATGGACAGAGAAGCCTGGCAGCCTACAGTCTATTGGGTTGCAACATGACTGAGCAATTAAGCACAGCACAGTGTCTAAAGTTATGGAGCTCTATCAATCACATGCCATTTTCTAAATAATGCAAATTTTATAAACATCTACTAAGTGTCAGATAAACATGCTTGTTCTTATCTGTTATTTCTGTTTTATAATTAAACCAAGGCTCAGAGAGTCAGTGACACACTGCTAGGGAGAAGAAGGTTTGCAGCTCAGAGGTGGGTGGTGGGGACACATGTGCATACAGACACGGACCAGAAGCAGTTGACCCTCAGATCAGACTCTAGTGTGACCTGCAAACCCACCAAGCACCCAGGTCTAGGCCCAAGTCGGAGTGTCCACACTAAGATCAACATGGCTGAGAAGCCAGAATATGGTCAGATGGAGTTGGGGTTATCCCAGAATGGGGGACGGGCGAGAGCCACCCCCGCTAAATCGGAGGAACTGGGCAAGGGGGGCCAGGACTCAGGTTGGTGAGCGGGCGCCACCTAGTGGCCAGTCACGGCGTGGCACCTCCCTGCCGCCCACAGTCAGTCAGCCTGAGCCTGAGCCTGAGCCCAGAAGACACCTGACAATCTCTCCAAATACACCCAATTAACCCTCATTTAAAGTTAACGTTGTCAACGCACATAGAGACACACGATTCTTCTTTTTACATTAAAAAGGAGCAGAGGCATCATTGCGGCTTCCTGTTTTTATTGAGCTGTCCAACACTTCACCTCTGGTTCAAGTGAAGTCCTCTAGGACTCTCAGCTCTGCCTCTCACGATGGGGACTTAATTGGTCTGAGAGTGGACAGGGCATCGGGATTTTTCCTGCTTGCTCTGCAAATGTTGCAGGGATAAACTAATTCTGGCTCCAGGTTGGAACTCTTTCTTTAATTTGCTCTCTGTTGCTTTTGTTATTATAATCACACATAATGGCCTGCCTCAGAGAATCCTGCCCCCAGTCTGACTGTTAAAGTCAGGTGCCTTTGTTCAGAACCCTGTCCACCTGTAGATGGCAGGAAGGAAGAAATGAACACATCCCCTGCCTGAGGCTTGCCATTCTAGGAGATGTTTGCAAGACTAATGGCCTTTTTGCTCTGTTTCCTTATCTCCCTCCACCTCTGATCTGTGAAAGAACCTGGCATCCAGACCCCATAAGATGGTTATTTTAAGACAATGGTATGTCATCTTCTTGGTCAGCTGGCTCTCCAAATAAAGTTGTATTTCTTGCCTCAACACCTCGTCTCTGATTCATTGGCGTCACTGTTGTGCAGTGAGCCAGGAGAACTTGGACTCAGGAACACAAAGACAGCTTTAAGATAAGCCTTCGGGGCCCTTCCATGGAGGTACTTATTCCCAAGTGCCTCCCTTTGTAGAAATGCTGGGGATAGTGTCCTCCTGGGAGCCCGGGACTGGCACCCACTCCTTGACCTCAGCTGAGGCCCTGAGCCTTTGACCCTCTGGGCTGCCTCACACAAAGCCTTTCACCTCTGTGGGCCTCAGTTTTCCCTTCTGTCACCTGGACTGAGCAGTGTCTCTGAACTGTTTGGGGAGGTCAACGGCCCCTGTAAGAATTTTCAGAAGCAATGCGTCCTTTGCCCAGAACCAGGTCAGTGGGTGTGCAACTGTGTTCATAGCTGTAGAGGTGCCTGAATTAACCCTTTTAGTCCTCGCCACCACCTCTTGAGGTCATTCCTTTTATTAGCCCATCTCATAGATGAGAAAACTAAGACATAAATAGGTAAAATAACCTGCCCAAGATCCCACAGCCAGTAAATGGTGGGGCTGAGTTAGAACCTGAGGCATCTCTGTGACCTTGGACAAGTGACCTCATTGATCCAAGCCCCAGTTTACTGAGAAAAGAGACCTTAACTAGACCCTAGCCTGTAGATGAGTCAGGGGCATATGAGATTGGAAAGCACATAGTAGGTACTCATTAAAGAGAGTCCTCTTTTTTTTTTTTAATTGGAGGATAATTGCTTTTCAATGTCGTGGTCTCTGCCATACTTCAACACTGTCATCGGTTTGCTATGCACACACATACGTGGTTTTGATGATCACAGGCACTCAACCACCCACCCACCCACCCGGATATCTTGGCCTGTGGCTGGGGGAGTCAGGGTAGACAGCAGTGAGAAACCCCCCAGCCCCAGAAGGAGCTCTGGTCTCCTCCATCTCAGCAGCTCCCTACCAATATCTAGTGGAAGGCCTGTGTCTTGCTCAATTCAGCTTTCGATTTTGTTTCTCTCAAAAACCACACAAGGAAGTTTCATTTTCGTTTTCTCCAGAGACTGCCTAGGGCCCCATTTCCGGAGTGTGAACAGCTGACAGCTGACAGTTGTCCGGATGAAGCTGAAGTGTCTTCACAGCTGCTAGAAGCACCAGCCTGGCCCACAAGAGTACACCCAGCCTTGACGGGACCCACCTTCTGCAGGCCCCAGGGTCAGAGCCTGCTGCTGACTCCAAGTCTCCCAGGCTTCCTGCAGCTGCTGTCAGCATGGCTGAGGTCCCTGCCGACCCGGGAGACACAGGTACTAATTTCCTTCTAAGACCCATGGGAGTGCCTGGCTGGGACTTAACTTTTCTTCTAGCTCCTTTTCTTGGTTCAGATGACAACCGCAATAGGCTAATATCTGAAGGCACCACCGTAACAAGAAAGAAACTTAACTGATACTGAACAGAGCTGTTTTCTAGGGTCCCCACTGAAAGCGTGTGGGCTGGGGGCTGAGACGTTTTTGTCTGTCTTTGTTCTGTGATCCGTAAATATCTGAACCTCACCACGATCTGAAGTAGTCATGAATATCACCATTTCAAAGATGGGGAAAAAGAGTGCGAGACAGGTCACACAGCTGATAGGTGGCAGAGCTTTGGCTCAAACCCAGGAAAATATGCTGTGTCAGGGGGGCAGGTGTGGTTAACTGGGGGAGGCCCAGGATCCCAGGCTGGTTGGTTCCCAGGTTCCTGTTGTACTTTCCCAAGCAGACACATCAGGGGAGCTGGGTAACTGAATTTAACTTGTTCCCCAGTGGGTTTTCCTTTTAACTGATGTATCATTTACACCTCATCCCATTTTGCAATTTCTGGTTCACCAGCCAGAAGACTCAGTGGGTGAGGCCAGCCCAGCTTTCACTGCATGGACCTCATTTCCTCTTTGGGGTCAGGGGACAGCAGGAGAAGGAAGAGAGAGGCTCACCCAGGAGCAGATTTTTCAGGAATCAAAACCTTTTCAAGGCTAGGCAAAGCATCAGTGTGTTGAATGGGTATGACAGTTTCAGAATAGTGTTTAGTGAGTGAAGGGTTGGGTGACCCCAGGGGTTATAATGCATATCACCTGCCCCCAGAAGGATGCAAACATTCCACCCACAAGAGAAGGCCACAGTGCCCAGCGCAGAGCTGGTAAACAGGTCATTCCCTAGTGCTGCCCACTCAGAATCCAGGAAGAACCCAGAAGTCAAAGGGTTGGGCTGCTGCCCTGGAAGGGTAACCTGGTCTTCCCAAGAAAGGCCCTGCTTTGCATTCCCACGGGGTCCTGGGGGGCAGACACTTTCCCTCCCAGCTCCATGCACTGCTGGCTCTGCATCCACCAGTTCTCTCACTCCCCACAGGGCTGCTGGCTTGGGTTTATGGGAACCTGCCTGGGAGGAGTAGGGGCCACTTGGAAAGTTCCTCCTTGAGCCTTGAGGCATCCTGCTTAGGATCATTAACTCTGGCAGAGGGGAGGTGGAAACAGAGGCCTTGGAGGAGTGCCCATCCCCTGCCCAGGTCATCTGAGCAGACACCTACCCAGTAGTGGACACTCATTCTTTCATCCAGTCCCTCCTCCATTCAAATGCTGTTAGTATTTCCTGAGACCCTACTGCGTGCCTGGCCCACGGCTAGACACAGGACCACTACAGTGAACCTGTCAATCACAGCAGGGGATCCCTGGGGACACTCTGCAGGGGACCCACACAGGACCAACTTCCCACCTGCTCAGGACACTCAGGACGGCCTCCCAGCATTGGAGTCTGAGTGAGAACTGACACTGGACAGGTGGAACGGGGGAAGAGCTCACCTGACAAAGGGAATGGCATGTGCAAAGGCCCGGGGGTGAGCACGGCTGAAAGGAATTCAAACAGGTTGGCACCTGAAGGGCAGTTGAGGGTGGGTAAAAGTGAGGCTGGCAGAACCTGTTCCGCTGGCAAAGGGGAAGGTGGACTGGAGGGAACCTGGAACTGGTGGAACTACTGTCATCGAGGGGATGCTGACAAGGAGTGGGGAGTGGAGGCAGAGAAAAGGAGAAGAAGGGGTTGAGAGAGTCTGGAGCAGTACACCAGGACTCCGTGTTTGGGCATCAGGGTGAAAGCTCCGTTTCTGAAGGCCTGCTGGGTTTCTGGCGGGGATGAACAGTGACATTGCCCCTGTGGACAGGGAGCCCCAGGAGCAGACTCCACAGGGAGGGGTGGATGGGGGATGGAGAGCGCCAGGGACAGGCCTCACTCCCCCGACTCCTCTGCTCTGCCCTTCCCTCCTGCATCCTGCCGCCTCCTCTGCTCTGAGGACACCTGAGAGCTGACTGGTCCCACCTGTCCTCCAGTGCTCACACAGGTGGGGGACACTCGGAAGGCCTGGCAGCTCTTCTGGCCACCAGGCTGTCCAGCCCAGGTCATTTCTGAGCAGCCCATGCACCCCTCCCTGAACAGAGACACTGATGGATGTCTGCTTTGACCTCTCTTCCTCCCTCAGCCCTGGACCCCTCTCTGGGGGAGCCCGCTGGCCCAGACTGGGTCGTGGGTACCTCAGTTCTGCCTCTGCCCCTGTCTCCCTCTCCCAGACCTTGAGCAGAAGATTCTGGAGGTGCTGAGGGATGCTGGCTCCCCTGTGAAGACCGCCCAGCTGTTAAAGAAATGTCAAGTGCCCAAGAAGAAGCTCAACCAGGTTCTCCACAAGATGAAAGAGGAGTCTAAAGGAGTCATGCTCGCAGGCCCTGCGACGTGGTGCTTGGGCGACAGCGGGACCAAAGAAGTGGTTCCCGCAGAGCGGGGTAACCTGTCACCACGGGTGGGGAAGGTGGGGGTGCAGGACCCAGCATGAGCGGTCCTGGCAGCGGCCAAGCCCAGGTTTGGACCTGTGTTCAAGTGCAGGCTCTGCCCTTGAGGGTGCATGCCATCTTCTCACTGCATCCTGCTTTCTTTCTCTGGCCAATGGAGGCAAGAGGATTTGATGCAAAGGGCTAAGCCCATGCCAGCACATAGTAGATGCTCAGCAAAATTTTAATGGTGATTATGACAGTGCCAATGATACAATCATAATAGAACAGCCTTAGCATTGCACAAGATCCACTTCTCTGGTTCTGCAGCCCATGGACCTTTAGCTGACATGTGTCAAGTACTCACAAAAAGCCATTGCAGGACCAGGGTTGGGGGAGGGGGGCCAAAAGTGAAAGTGTTAGTCACTCCACCGTGTCCGACTCTTTGCGACACCATGAACTGTAGCCCACCAGGCTCTCCTGTCCATGGAATTCTCCAGGCAAAAATACTGGAGTGGGTAGCTGTTCCCTTCTCGAGGGGATCTTCCCAACCTAGGGACTGAACCCTGGTCTCCCAAATTTACAGTCTTAGCCACCAGGGAAGCCCAGAAGTGGGTGGGGCAGGATTTGAAGCTAAATTCCTTTAACTCTAGAATCTGAATTTGGAGATCTGTGTGCTGGGGCCTCTACAAAGCAGCCCGCCTTTGTCAGGTAGAATCCACGTCCCCTCTCCTGTCCCTTCACCCCCTGATCATCTTTCTTTCTCCAGCAGAGAGGCCCCAGCAAGACGCAGTTGCAATTCCGAAGAAGCCTGGCCCCGAGCTCAGTGGACAGCGTAAGCATCCTGGTTTCATTCAGCACCGGTTCCCTCTGTCCCCAGACTCTCACGGTCACTTAGGAAGCTACACGTGTCCAGGGACAACCACCCCACCCACTGAAAGGTTCCCACACTAGACATAGTGTTCAGAGGCAAGGCTTTGTCTCTTGGGGAAAGAGGCTAAAGGACTTAGAAGTCACTTGTCTGATTAATGGCTAGCATTTGCTGTGCACCTAGCGTGGACAGGCACTGTTCGGAGCCCTGATGAGAATTCCCAACTCCCAGAACAACCATTGTGGTGCAGTATTATTAATGTGCCCATTTCACAGATGAGGAAGATGGGCACAGGGGCTGGTAAGCAGGGAGCAGACCCAGCCCTCCAGGGTCCTGTTTAACCACTGGCCTCTCGCCTCCCAGAGGAAGAGATCTACCAGTTTTTGGAAACCCACGGGCCCCATAAAGCCCTGATGATCGCCAAGGCCCTGGGGATGAAGACAGCAAAGGAAGTCAACCCAGACTTGTATGCGATGAGGGACAAGCACCTCCTGGACTTTGACCAGAAATCAAACTCGTGGTCAATTTATCGATCAGGTAGGCCCTCACTCTGAACAGGGCAGAGGGCAGAGCTGTGAAGAGAAATTGTAACACTCAAGCCCTGGTCCTTGCTGGGCTCCTACTAAGTACTCTGGCTCCCCACCTTGTCAGAAGCTGGAGTCTTGCTGACCTATCCCTAACAGGGGATTCCAAGAGGGAGGGGAATGCTGGTGGGAGTAACCAGGGAGGGCTTCCTGGAGGTGGGGTCCATCCCTGACTGTATCAGCCCTGGGACACAGGTCTCAATCTGAGTTTGCTAGCAGTTTTCTGTAAGCACTTTGCCCAACTTGGAGTTGTAAAGTTGCTGAAGGAGTCAGCTAGGCTGGGCTTACATACCCACAGGTGGAGTCCCAGAACTGACTCAGGCATTATAAACAGCAGGCCCAAGGCCTAGAGCCTCCAGTACTTTTAGGGGGTCACCAAATGCTCCAATTTCTCTTTAAATTGGAAGAAAAAATGGATATCATAGAAAGAATGAATAGCTAATAATGATTTCAGCTGAGATTATATTTGTCTTTATCCCAACACAGTCATAAAATGCCATTTTAAATAGTTCTTATGGAGTTGGGGGCTCACAAAGACACAAAAGCCAAGGGCCCACGAAGCTGGGAATGTGGCCCTTTGTGTGGAGCCCATGTGGAGCTGATACCCCTGCTTATGGCACCAAAGGAGGGCTTCAGCATCTTAAATGCTGGACGCTAAACAGTGGTCACTACTCCAGATTCTTTAAAATGCCTTGTGAACCAAACAAAGCTTTTCCCATGGTTAGGAGCAGCCCGTGGACAGCTCCCTAAAAGGAGAGAGGAAAGGTCCCTAAAGGAAAGCAGGGGTTAAGGCTGTGGTTTCCTCACAGTGGGAGGGGGCAGAGGGTGCAAACAGTGAGGTACCTGCCGCCCCCCCTCAGTGGCAGAGGACACACGGGTAGGGTGGCCTGCAGGACAAAGTACAAGTTTACCTGCAGCGTTTGGTAAACACTCCGGCTCCTGGGGGCCACCTGGGCCTACTGACTCAGGACCCCATGGTGGGCCCCCAGGAATTCGTGTTTTAACCAGCCCCCATCCCCACCCCAGGAGATTCTGGTGCTGTGGACAAGTATTTGGAACTTCCAACCCCTTGAGAGGCACAAAGGGATTGAGTGGAATATTATTTTGCAGAAGGTTCTAGAAATCAGTCCACCCCAGTTATTTACCAGCAAAATCCAGTCAACATGATCTGTCAGAAGGGACCAAACAGCCACATTTCCATCCAGCACTGTGAAGATATCCAGATTGGACACGGGAATCTCCTAGTGAGACAAATGGGCTCTGGGGAAAACGGTGAGTCCTCTGAGATGCCTAGGAGAGGGGACCTGTCCATCTGGGTGGGGTAAAGAGCGGGGGCAGGGGGACATTTCTCCAGGGAGAAAGGGCAGCTATCAGATTTCCAAGGTCCTTTCTGGCTTTCCCAAGAATGAGGCTGTTTCTCCTTGTGCCTGGATCAAACCCCTCCTGCATTCCTTTTACCCCCGGCCATCTTTTGCCACATTTTCTACAAGAAACAACTTCATTCATTCTCTCTCACTAAGATGTCACAAGGTGTCATTGTAACATTGTGTTTGTTCCAAGACACTACTTCTTCCCTCATGTTAACATTTCGTAAACTGGAATCCCTCTTCCTGGGTGCATCCTAGCTTTGATGAAATAACAGGAAGCAAGTGAGTGCCTCCTCCATGTTAGGCACTGTGGGGAGAGAGGACAGGGCCACCTCTCAGTCCAGCTATGGGACATGAGTGAAAGCATTGACCCCAAATTTGGGACACCCCCTGTGACCTCGAGACAGCCCTACCCCGCTCTGGGCCACAGTTTCCCTAATTGTGAAAGGAGGAACTTTGTTCTAGAATCTAAATCAACCTTTCCCCACCTTCAGTCCTCTGAGCTCCACCTCCATAATTTTGGCCGAGTCCCTGGCTGGCTGTTTACTCAGTGTTGCTAAATGGTTTACCTTTTATTCTACTCAAATTCATTTTAAAGTAAACTTTTACAGCATTACCTTGAAAATCACAAAGGTCACCATGAAAAGAAATGCTGAGAAAATAAAACAATGCCAGAGTCTCGGAGAGCTCTGTGTCAACACCAAGTTAACCCCCAAGGAGACTTTTTCCCAATGGGCCCAGAGGGATGAGAATGGCTGGGAAACAGAGGGCATGCTCAGTGTTTGGGTCTGCAATGCCCCATTGACACCCCGGGCATCCCAGTTATAAAACCCTGGAAACCCACGCTAATTGTTCTGCCAATTCTCCTGCTCTTCAATCCAGAGCCTAAAGTAGTCACTCCCTGTCTGCTGGTGTCCAGAAAGAATTCAGAGTCCTGTCTCCTCTGTCTGGCTAGGATTTATCTGTGTGCATGGTGGGGAGGGGGTGGGAAGAGCAGTATCAGAGGTTGGGGGTTAAGGGTCATGTTTCCATGTCCTCTACCAGGCTCCACGGCTCCCTGCTGCCTCTCTCCAATGGCTGCTGCTGATCCCTCAACTCTGGATTCCCTGGCTGGATCCTGGGGGCCCCAGGACATCCGGATGGAGAAGTCTGTGCTCAGACGAGTTCAGATGGGACACGGCAATGAGATGAGGCTTCACAGCAACCCAGCCAAGGGCTCTGCCCATGGCGCCTGTGACAGTCCCCCAGGTAACGGGACAGTAGGCTGCCATCCTGCCCCCACCCCACCCCATCTGGCCTCCTTAATACATGGGACTTGAGCCAGTCCTTGTGGGGAGAGAGGCATCCCACCAGGAGGCTGTCCACAGAGTAGAGCAAGGGGGTCTGGCAGAGTCAGCACGAGGGTTCCATTCCTACTACCCACCTAGGAAACCTCAATGTCCTCATCTCTACAATGGGCAAGGATCATTTCCTGGGTCAGATGAAGCAGAGACAAAGGAGATGGCTGGACTGGAAAGGCACCTAAGGAGCCACCTAGGTGCTGTTGACCAGAGAGGGCTGAGGTGATGTCCTCCCTGGCACTGGGCATCCAGAGACAGGCTGGGGGAGATGCAGCAGAGAGGCCTGGGAGAGGAGGAGCCCTGGGGATGCCAGGGTACAAGTTTCCAGAAGAGAAGAGGCTGTGAGATCAAGGGAGGGTCACAGGGTCTGGCAGCAAGGGGTCTGCGGTGACCTGAGGGGACAGAAGGAGCGAGGGCAGCGGAAGGAGGTGAGACGGAGTGTGGACAGCTCTCTTCTGAAGTTTGGCAGGGGAGGCAGGAGCACGATGGCAGGAGCTGGGGACTGGACTGGGGCCACGTGAAGATTCTAACTGAATATGGAGATGGTGTTCCAGAGCTGCCAGAAGGCAGGCAGCAGAGAGACAGGGAGCAGGGGTCCGCGGGGGCAGTGGTTGAGTCCCCGGGGAGGCACAGAGGACCAGGTCAGCGGGGATGGGCAGCAGGAGGAGGGGATCTCTCTCGGCAGACCCAGGGGCCGAGAGAGCTGGCAGCCCAGCACGTGGAAGGAACATGCAGAGAGGCCACGTGTCTGCCAACGATAGAGCACGGCATGGACCACTGCAGGGAGGTTCCAGGAGGACGGTCAGCCATGGGGGACCTGGGAGCCAGGTTGGAGGCCAGGCCTTCTGTCCAGCTGCTCACACCCCCTTCCCCAAATCCCTTTCTATGACCGACCTGCAGCCTCTGTCCTGGGTACCAGCCCAGAAGCTTCCATCGAAATTCAAATCCCTGAACCAGGACCTCAGTGTGAAGGGGTCACGTCCCAGAAAGTCCACATTCGCTCCTGCTTCCTCGAGGACACCACCGTCGGCAACAGCAACAGGATGATGGTCCACCCAAGGGCAGCTGATGTCAAGGGAGTCAAAAAGCATAGGGAGCCCGGAGGCGACATAGGTGAGCCTGGGGCGGGGTGGGGGGCAGGGCGCTCTCTCTCATTCACTCAACAGTCTTGTATCTCCCGTTTCCTGGAGTCTGGGAGGCAGGAGAGTCATGGCAGAAGTAGAGTCCACCTAACCCATACTCAGCTGGGAGCCTCTGCTTCCCCATCTATAAGTTGAGGGCTAGAGGAGCCCATGGCCCCCGGGCTGTGGGGAGGATTGGATACACCCCGTTCACTGCTGCGACACCTGGACCAGACCAGTGACATATTTGTGGGGCCCAGTGCGACCAGAAAAAGCAAGGCTCCTTGTTCGAAACTTAGAAAGAATTTCAAGACAAAGGCAGGAGACAGTAAGCTGAACACAGGCCCATCTGCAGGGCCTGTGTGACCACCCAAGCCACATACCATGAGGCTGGGTTGCCTTGGAACCTTCTGGAACATGATCCCTCCTCTATTCTTAGAAACCCAGCTCACTAATTCTTCCCCACCAATAATGCTGTAGCCACCTTATGCTTCTTCCACGTCTTCAATAGTTAGGAAGAAGTCGTTCATTCATTCATTCTCCCACTTTGGCCCCACTCCTGCACTCAAACCCTCCCATCCCTGGAGATACAGCTAAGAGCACAGAGACAAATACACCCCATTCATGAGATCAGAGTCCAGTAGTGACTAGACACTAGCCTTTTGAGACTGGCACTAAAAAGAACTATTAAAGGGGAGGGGGCAGGTAGGCAGCGGTGTGACCTAGTAGACGTGCCTTAGCCAGGCCGACAGAGGACCTCAGGATGAGGTGTCACCTGAGCCCAGGCCTGCAGGAGGGGAGGAACTGGACAAGCACAGATGTGGGAAGAGTGCTGCAGGTAGAGGGAACAACAAGTGCAAAGGCCCTGAGATGGGAAGATCCAGAACCACACACATGAGCCCAGGGAGCAGAGGGATGTGATCCAATGGGCAAGGCTGGGTCTCTCCCTGCTGGGAAGCCCAGGAAAAAGGTCTGGGTCATATCTGAAGTGAGCTGGGAAGGCCTGGGGGGCTGGAGCAGGGGGCAACATGAAGTGGGGCACAATTTAAAAGTCTGACCAGAGATAATCTGGAATCAAAGTGGGCGGAGGAAGTGGGAGCACTGGTCTGGGGGAGAAAGGATGGGGCTTCGCAGATGGGGACATGAGGTCATCCACCCGTGAAGCCTGCACCCCAGGCAGCGGCTTCAGCACCCATGGACCAAGTCACCTCAGTTGTTCAGTTGTTCATGGGGAGGTGGCTGACATGTTCCTGGGGTCCCCTCTCTTCCCCAGAGCCTCCCCACCGAGACGCACTGTCCAGAAGCAAGGTCCCTCCTGTTGGCAGTCAGGCCGACCCCGCCAGCACTGAGACGCTCATCTCAGAAGAGCTGGCAGCTATGACCCTTGAGAGGCATGACTCCGAAAACACAGAAGACACCTGCTGAGTGATGGAACCGCAGAGCCGGTGTCCCCGGGGGGGTGGGGGGTGGGACTCAGAGCAAACAGCCTGCAGGCAGACTCACACAGAAAGAGCCTGGGGGTGGGTGAGCTCTCTGCTGCCATAAATGTCACTTTTTACCTTCTCGCCTCCGGACACATGACCAGTGTGGGTCAGCATTTGGACTGGACCCGACGTGGGGTGAAGGCGGTGTCGCGGCAGTCCAAGTGCAGCTTGGAATAGAAGTTCCAGACACAGAGTACTGCAGAAAGTACTGTCTATTAAGAACAGAGAGCAGAAATAAAGTGGGCACTGTGATCACAGTGGGTCATCAAGTCCCGACAGGCTTGAGCAGCTGCTGTCCGAGTACCGTCCCCTTCCTGTGTTGTGGCCGGGTTTGTCCTGCCCTGGCTGGGGCTGCTGGCTCGATGGATGCTCTGCTTCCTGTCACCAGGCCCAGTTCCTCCGGCCACCCCTGCCCCTGCCATCCATCCCCGCTGTGTGACCCCTCAGCCTGATGAGCAGAGACTGCTCTGCTTGGGGCCACGAGGTGGGGCTACGACTGGCACCCACAGTGTGTGGACAGGAAGAGAAGCCAGGGGGCAGACACTAGGGTCTGGAAGCTGGACTTGGCCTGGACAGTGCTGGCTCCGCACCCCACGGGGCCCCCTCTGGCTGCTGAGATGTCTGCGAGCCGTGCTGGAGGGGGCATCTGGGCAGGACAAAGCTGGATCTCCAGCCAGGGAGGACAGGGACAGGGTCCGATCATGCCTGAGGACCAGCGGTGGGGGGTGGGCTGGGCTGGGCAGGAGGCGCCCTGTGATACACAGTGCTTTTCCCGTGTACTGTGTGTGTGTCTGGGCTGTGCCTGGGGTTTCACAGATTAAGTCATGTGGCAGCAGTAGGGAAAAAAAAATGGACTTGCCTGGATGGTGCTGGCTTCCCACCCCGTGGGACCTCCTTCAGCTGCTGAGAAGGGTAGCTGTTGCCTTCTCCGGGGTATCTTCCCAACCCAGGAATCGAATCCAGGTCTCCCACGTTGCAGGCAGATTCTTTACCACCTAAGCCACAAAGGAAGCCAAAGAATATTGCAGTGGGTAGCGTATCCTTTCTCCAGAGGATCTTCCCAACCCAGGAATTGAACCGGGGTCTCCTGCATTGCCGGTGGATTCTTTACCAGCTGAGCCCTATTGAGAACAAAGAGTAGAGATAAAGTGGCCGCTGCAAATGCAGCGGGCCAACAACTCCCGACAGGCCAGGGAGAACTAACAGTTTTTGTGGGTTAATAGCTGATTTTTATAGCCTCAAGACAAAGAAAATTCCTGCTGGATGGTTTTCACCAGGTGATTGCTTGGGATACTATAGGGTATTTACTGGAGTGAGCATCTTTGCCTAGCTGAGAGTCAGGAAACTTGTTAATGATGATCGGGGGCTTTTCGCAAAGTTACAAAGGGGCTCAGTCAGCTTCTGAGGTGACCTTGGTTCTGGGCTCTGCTTCTGTGGCCTTGGGGACAGGACTCAACAGACAGGGCCTCTGGTGGCCAGGAGCAGCCTGCCAGGGGGCGCCTTCCTGGGTCCATCGAACATCAGAACCACCCATTCTGCTCTTCATGTAAGACTTGACTTCCTCAAGGCCCATTGTGGCCCCCTGATGGTTTTACCAACTCACCTTTCTAGAACCTTCCCACCTTGACCTTGAAGGCTAGGGATGGGTCAGTCCCTAATGTTACCAGAAAAGGGTAAACTCCCAGATCATCGACTCAATGGGCATGAATTTGGGTAAACTCCGGGAGAGAGTGAAGGACAGGGAAACCTGATGTGCTGCAGTCCATGGGGTTGCAAAGAGTCAGACACGACTGAGTGACTGAACAAGACAGATGAGAACCTCAGAAGCCAGTTGCATCTTCCCCAGCACCAGCTGGTGAACTCACTAGGCACAGAGGCCCTGTCTTTTCGCTCTTGAACCTCCAGTAGATGCTAGACAGGCCCCCGCCTCCCATCACACTCACCATTTCCTGTGTACCACACCCTTGGGCTTCAGAGACAGGAAGACCAAGCCTCTGCTCTCGGGGAGCAGTTCACAGCCAGCAGGAGAGGCAGCCCAGGCCTGGGCAGTGAGTCCTGCGCAGGAATGACCACGTGGAATAAAGGGGTGCAGAACAGGGCCCCGGATACCATCTGCAGGGCCAGGAGGCTTTGAAAGAGATAACTCTGGAACTCATTCTTCAGCGCCTGGCAGAAGGAGGGGGTTGGGAAGGGAACGATGTTCTGGGCAAGGACTCAGCCTGAGCAAAGACACGATGCTCAGAACAAGACAACTTACCCAGGGCAACACAACAGTGTGGGTGTTGCTGAAAAACCCAATGCAAAGAAAACACAACTGGAAGATCAGCTGGAGAGGAATATGGACTTGATGCTGAGCTCTGGACAAGCACTGCTCCACCTGCACAAATATTCAGAGAGAACAAGGAAGTTGGCTTCATTACAAGGAAGGCAGGGTTTTGTCTAGTGGACTGGAATGGCTCTGTCTACAAGGGGACAAAGTTATCTCAACCACCCCTGTGATCTGGGGCCCCCAAATCATTCCTGCCTGGGATAACCAGTTTGCAAACATGCCACCAGGATGTCAGGGGCATGAAATCAGGTTTGGCGCCTTGCTTCTGGCATTGTCTTCCCTCTGCAGTGAGCTAAAAACTGAGTGCTTGCCTCAAAGTTTGCCCGACGTCTGTGGTTAACCAGGCCTGTATCGGTGGGTGATCAAAATCATCTCAAAGCTCAACCTCAGCTCCCACCTGCAGCCCAAGCCAGAGCACTCAATTTTCCTGCAAGATTTCACCTCTCTGTGTGATTAATTTGTTGTAAACATGCTGACAAAGCATTGTTGGCAGTTAATTGGGGCTGGAGGTGAAAGTCAAAGCTGGTCTCTTCGGGAACGAAATTAACTAGCTACCATTAATGCAAAGAATGATTAAGTCCATCTATCCCCCAGCCTTTTGCTCTCACTAGCTCATCCATTGTCCCAGCTTCTGCAATGATTCGTGTGCACACAGAACTTGAAGCCTCTGGAGTGGGATAGGGTAGGGGTTGGGATGGAGAAGGAAGAATTTCCTACTTGAGTTAAAAGTGATTTTCCAAAATCACCATGACCTGCTCACACACACAATTCTATTTTCCTTCTTTTTAAAAAAGTTATTAGAGTTGATTTATAATGTCGTGTTAGTTTCTGTTGTATAGCAAAGTGAATCAGTTACACATAAACACATATCCACTCTTTTTTAGATTATTTTCCCATATAGGCCATCAAAATATATTGAGTAGAGTTCTCTGTGCTATACAGTAGGTCCTTTTTGTTATCTATTTTATGTATAGTGATGTGTATATGTAAATCTCAGCCTCCCAATTCATTTCTTCCCTGCCCTCCTCCTTGTTTTCTACATTTGTAACTCTATTTCTGTTCTGTGGATAAGTTCATTTGTTCCCTTCTTTTAGATCGCAAGTGTAAGCAAAGTTACATATTTGTCTTTTTCTCTTTCTTATTTCACTCAGTATGAGAAACTCTAGGTCCATCCATGTTACTGCAAGTGGCATTATTTTGCTGAGTAATATCCCATTGCATGCATGGCTAAGTAATATTCCATCGTGCATATGTACCACATCTTCTGTATCCATTCCCGTGTCAGTGGACATTTACGCTGCACCTAGGTCTTGGCTACTGTAAACAGTGCTGCAATGAACGTTAGGGTGCATGTATCCTTTCCGATCTTGTTTTTCTCCAGATATATGCCCAGGAATGGGATCGTGGGGTCAAAAGGTAGCTCTAGTTTTAGTTTTGAAAGGAAATGGCAGTATGTGTCGTGGTCGGCGCAGGGGTGGCTACCCACCTGGACACTTGGTTGTCTCAGGGCAGGGGGAGCTGGTTCCCATTGCTGCTGTAACAAACGGCCGCATGTGAGGGGTTTAAAACAACACAAACTCAGCATCAGGTCCTGGAGGCAGACTGGGTGAAAGTCATGGTGTGAGCAAAGCCGGTTCCTCCGGAGATTCGGCAGAGAACCGTTCTCTTGCCTCCCCCAGCTTCCAGGGGCACCTGCTCTCCTGGCTCACGGCCCCTCCCTCTATCCCCAAATTGAGCAGCATCATGTCTTCCATTTGCTGCCCTCCCTCCTCTTTCCACCTCTTCTAAGAACCTTGTGATTACTCTGCCCATCCACGATAATCTGCCCTCAAGGTCCTTTATCACCTCCACACCCTGCGAGGATGAAAGGGTATCACGCACAGTGATTCTCAGCTCTCAGAGCATCTAACAAATGCTGAGTCCCAGTCCACCCCAAATCGACTGATGACAGTTTCTGGGAGAGAGGCCTGGGCTAAGGTGTGTGTTTTAAAGCTCCTCTGTGATCCCAAGGAGCCCCTTGGGGGCTGAGATATCTCTGCCTGGCTCCAGTTGGACAAACCCAGGATGCCAACAGACCACAGCTGTTAGGACCCCAGAAACCCCTCACCCAGCACCGCCTTCTGGCTGGTGGCAGAGGAGCATCTAGAGGGAGAGGAACCCCAAGCCATGTCCCAGCCAGGTTCAGGGTCCCAGGTCCCAGGTCCCAGGTGGCCCTCAGCCTGAGTGCTGGCTGTGGAGGAGCCGGGTTCAGCCTTCCACTGCTTTGGTTTGAGCGCCACCTGCTGGCCATAGACAACTTGGCCACTGGCCGGCTGCAGCCCCCACCAGGTTGGGTTTGTGAACTTCCAGGGTCCTAGTCTGGGGTGAGATGGGCTGGGACCATTCCCTCCCTTTAAAGTAGCAAGACCTACATCCGGGGCTCTGCCTCACACCCTAAACTTGTCCACAGACCCCAGATTAAGTCCCTGCACTGCCTTCCCTTCCCCCAGATGCCAGCACCCCAAAAATCAACAACCCAGTGCCCACAAAAGCTGATTCTCTTTCTTCAAGAGGAATACCCCTATAAGTTTGGGGACCCACCCCCCCCACCCCGGAAGACCCCAGCCCAACTTCTGCAGGAATTCCAGGGACCTGGTCTGTAGCATCACAGCCCTGAGTCCTGATGTTGGTGGAACTCCTACTTGTACTAACTCACTTCATCCTTCCATCCAGCCTGTGAAGAAAGGGATTCTCATCCCACTTCACATGGTGGGAACACTGAGTCACAGAGAGGTTAAGCTACTTGCCCATGGTCGCACATCCAGCATCCAATCCAGGGGACAAAGTGGGTAAAAACTGCCCCTTGGGTGTAAAATAAAACCTTCTGTATGCGGAAGGCCCACATGCTTGGGCAATGCCTTGGTCTGGGAGGTGAGGGTGGCTCCCACCTTCCCCCAACCTGAGTGCA